GTGACGTCATTACACTCGGGCAGCCTCCAGAGACCCGCTCGCCAGCGGGTAGTGGCTGACACCAGGGCAGTCACGAAGATCACGTAATGACTAAACGAACGCTCTCATGTAAGTTTGACTTACACGTGTAAGCTAATCGAACGCACCCATTAATAACATTTTATTATAGAGACCAGTGGTCGCGACTGTACGTAGTTATTTTATTAATCCCAAAGGAAATTACATCTCTGCGTACAAGCCTCATTAAAAACATACAAAAATTAGAATTCTAAAACATACATATACTGAATCTAATTAAAATACAGAATGAATACATTACAAATCATTAAAAATCATAAATACCACATCTTATCAAAGTTCGTCTATTCCACTCGTTTGTTTCAAATTGCATGCAGCAATGGCCCTATGGATGAAAGAATATTTATAACGCTGTGTCCTCTTGGTCGGCAGTGCAGTCTCCCACTTCGTTCGCTTCGTCGCTCGTCAAACTCACCTCCCAGGAGGTGAGTTACGTCAATCAGTATTTTGTCAGTCCTGTCTGTCAGTCGTCGGTCGTACGCTAAGTCAAATGTCTCCTGTGGTCTGCCAATCACCCCGCCAGCCTTCTTGATCACCTTGTCAATCCTACCCCTCTCCCTCCCAGACAGATTCCCGCCCCAACACACAGCACCATACATAAGTACACTATTGATTGCAGAAGAATAAAACGACTGTAAAATAACACTGTTTAAATTGAATGATCTGAGTTTGCTAAGACAATACATACGTGACTGAACTTTATTTACTATTGCATTAGTGTTTTCCTGGAAAGTCAGTTTATTATCGACGATGACGCCCAGGTACCTGTGCGCACCAACCCTCTTCACCTCCTCTCCACTGATGCACACAGACTCCGGGGAGTCGCTCTTTGTTGCGTGAAAAGTAAATCATCATCTCTCTAGTTTTTGATGCATTGAGGTGCACATAATTTCTTTCGCACCACTCCACACAATTCTGCACTTCGTTTCTATAAACAGTGTCATCTCTCTTGCTAATTTTTCCAATCTGGCAAAAGTCGTCGGCAAATTTTACAAGGGGGTAGGCCTATAAATCGTGTGTCTGCCTCCCACCAGCAGTGTACAGAGTAAAAGGAAATGGTGAAAGAACTGTCCCCTGAGGGGCACCTGTATTGGTGTAAATAGTATCTGAGATATCAAAAGAAGACACCGAAGGCAGTTCACATATTAGGTTCTGTTGGTTAAATAACTAAAAATACATGCAATAACATTTTTGGTAACATTCAGGTTTCTCATTTTTTGTACCAAAATATGTGGTTGAATTGTATTAAATGCACTGCTAAAATCGTAAAGCATTAGCCTTATAGAGTTATCTAGAGTATCAAGATAACTACATATATAGACTGTTTAGAACATACAAATCTGCGTCCTCCGAGCTGCGATTTTTTTATACGCAAACTGTAAAGGATCAACATGGTCAGCAACTAAGAGGGTAAGTTTATTAAGTACAATCCTCTCACAAACTTTCATAATGGCAGACGTCAAAGCTACTGGTCTTAAATCATTCAATGTGGAGACGACTGATTCCTTTGGGACGAGTACAATACACGACGTCTTCCAACACCGAGGAACATAGCTGAGCCTGAAACACCAGTTAAAGATAATACTAAAAATGTAAGCCAGCTGATCGGCACATGTCTTTAACACTCTCGGGGATACTCCATCAGGACTAGAGGCCTTCCTAAGGTTACAAGCTTTAAACAGACCACGGACCTCCTCCTGGCTGGTCTCCAGGCTCTCGCCACCAATGTTCAGATCGTCCACAAAAGACTCTGTCAAGAAACTGCATCTAATATCTGTATGTTCCTGTGAAAAATCGATGTTGTCAAAACGTCCATAAAACTTATTCAGTTCATTGGCTTTACCAACAGAGTTATCAGGGTTAGGAGGTGAATGTGTTTTTGCAGTTCTGTTTGTGTATCCACTCATAAGTTTCAAACTGTCCCAAACTTTCTTCATATCATTAGAAGCAAAGTTTCTCTCAACTTTCTTCCTGTACTCATTTTTTCCAACTTTTATTTTTTCTTTCAATACTCTCTGTGCTTCTTTCAATTAGTCCTTGTCTTTTGCTGCAAAAGCTTTCTTCTTTTCCTTGATAGCCTTTAAAATGTCTTTTGTTATCCAAGGTTTTGTGTTAGAGAAACCTCGACAGTTTTCTCAGGAACTGATCTCTCCACACAGAAGTTGGTATGCGCTGTCACAACATCGATCAGCTCATCTACATTCTCTAAACTATCAACAAACATCCCAATCGGTGCATTCCAGCGCCCCACGCAGGGTCTCACATGCCTCATGGGTCACTCTTTGACGATACGCAGTGAAGGTGGTTCCTTTTGAACAAGAGGTCTATATTTTGAGCGTAAAAACACCAGGTTATGATCTGAACATCCAAGTGGTGGAAAAGAAAAAGACTGATACGCATCCTGCACATTTGAATAAGATAAGTCAATGGTCTTGTCCCCCGCGTAGAACACTTAACGTGTTGGTTATACCCAGGGAGGTGTTTTTTTCAGGATGATACAATGATTAAAGTCACCAGTTATAATCTTGAATGCATCTGGAGCTTTGGTGTCAAGGTCATGCAAATGGGTCGCTAGTGTGTCGGCTGCTTCACGTGCATCGGGACTAGGTGGAATATGAACAGAAGTTACTAGCACGTGTGTAAATTCCCGAGGCACATAATACGGCCTAGAGTTGACAGTTAGCAGTTCAATGGCTAGCGTAGACAGAGTGTCCTTAATTGACAGTAACATTATTAGGGTGGCATCATTTATGATTGATGTAGACACAAACACCACCTCCCTTCCTTTTCCCCGTCTGTTCCTTGCTTCTGTCGCCACGTAGTAATTTAAATCCATCAACATTACCACAGGAGTCAAAATTTTTCTCAGTGAGCCAGGTTTCCGAAAAACACGTTCTGAAAGCCCCAAGGTTACGCACGTTGACACTGAGTTCATTAGTTTTATTGTTAATAGACTGCACGTTGCCCGTAATAACACTAGTAAGAACTGGCTTGTGGCCGCGTCTTTTATTTCTGGCTTTCATTCCTCCTTTTTTTCCTCTCTTTCTCATCTTAATCTCAGGTGGCAGTTCTGATGACAATACAAGTCGGCTGACCAGCGGCGAAGACCGCAAGTGCAGTAGTTCAGCCATGTTGTAATAGATTCTTACCGGCGCTGATATGGGACGATCAAACTCCTGAGTCTCACACTCTGTCACTATCAGCCACATTAGTAACAAACACACTATCAATCCTGTATCCCTTCTCCATCCCTAAAACAAAGATTCAGGCCTCCACATTCTCAAACAACAGATATAGGCTAAACAG